TATAACTGAGTATCAGCATAACAATGTAAATTTATCCCATGCTGTTTAATAACTTTACCTAATGGAAGCATGTATAAAGTAAAGAGGATTGATCCAAGCACTGAACCCTGAGGAACTCCATGACTAACTCTGGTGATTATTAACATTAACAAACTGAAATCTATCAGTTAAATAAGACTCAAACCAGTTTAGAGCTGTTCCTGTGATCCCAATATCAAGTTCAAGTCTACGTCAAAGAAAAATGTAACAGAAACCAACAAAACGCTGGGATCAGGAGGTCCTGGTCCTGGTCCTGGTCCTGATAATCAGAGACATTGGAAAGATACAAATCATTTTGTATCCTGACCTTGGAGCACCTGAGTGGGCGGAGCCTGTGTACCTGTGTGTGTCTGATGGACTCACCCATTGTAAGACTTTGATGAAGCCCAGAGGAACCTTCAGGACCCTGAACTGGCCCTGGGCCACCAGCTGCAGGAACAAACAGAACCGTTATTTAACCCTGGAACTGCAGGGTTCTGGACCAAGAAGAAGCATGGAGGAGGAGGGGCCTATGTTTGAGGTGGGAGGGGCTACTGTAAGTCCTGTCACTCATAATCTCTGAGTGATGCAGAACCTCTAGTTAGATGACGTCATCATCAGTAAAGGTTCTGGGTTCAACTCCTGGTTTGGACCTGGACTCTATCAGTCCAAAAACCAAAGATCTGAGACCTGAAATGACCCGGTTCTGTTTGGATCAGAACCTCTGGAGTTTCTGAACCCTCAGAGTCTCAGTGGACCGGTACCAGCTGAACGGGACCAAAGCTCTGGTCCAACAGATCCTGTCCCAGACCAGAACCCACCAGAACCGTCTCATCGGTTCCAGCTGAGACTGGTTCTGCTGGACTCCATCCTCAAACCGGGTTAAATGTTCCACATCAGGTTCGGTTGGACCCGATCAGCAGCATCCTCTTCCTCCCCCAGCTGCCATTTTACAACCAAGCGAGCACGCGCAGACACGCGCACACGCGCAGACACGCGCGCACACAAACGGTTTGATGTCAAAAATAAAATGTTTCAGGTGGTTTTATTCTAACTGGACCGAACCGAACCGAACCCCGGGCCGGCTGAGAACTGGACCGGGACCTGTTCGGTGAGGAGCGGCCCAGTCCGGCCCGCACCAGGCGGTCCAAACAGAACCGAAACACCAACACGAATCGAACCAGAACCGACGGAGGAAGTAACCATGATCCCCGCACAGGACCCGAACCTGAATCTGGACCCGAACCCAGATCTGGATCTACTACATGAAAGGGAGGATGCTGAAGGGTCCTACCTGATTTACCACGTCCATCCTGCTGCTGAGGAGAGGAGGAGGAGGAGGAGAGGAGGAGGAGGAGGAGA